GGGGAATTCTGGGAGTTGACGTCCACACGTCTTAAAGTTGCCAAGGTTGAGAAACCCTGCTTTACAGACTCGAAGGAATGAAATCTGTGGTTTTAAATGCCCTGGGCAGGATGAGAACCTATCAGAAGTATTTATGGCTCTGATCTAAAAACCTGCATGGACTTTGGGGGCTTCACAGTGTTGATGAAGCAGTTGTTACTCATAAAACAACATCAACAAAAAAACCCATAGACCCATGTTTCTCAACCTTGGCAACTTTAAGTTGTACGGACATCAACTCCCACCATGCTGGCTGGGGAATTCTTGGAGTTGACGGCCACACGTCTTAAAGTTGCCAAGGTTGAGAAACACTGCTACAGACCATCTCGTCAGAGATATATAAACTGGCTTTTAACATACTTCGCAGGCCTGCAAAACCCAACAAGGGTCTCACAATGAGTGGAATAATCAAAAGGTGCAGTTCAGATCACTTTGCAGCAGAATATATAAATTAAATGCATTCTTGGTATAATCCTAAGAAATTCAGAACTGTTCTGCCAAGTGCACGGAAGTCTGCAGGTAGTTTCTCTTTCTTCATGTGATGCCCTCCAGATGTGCTGCTTTAGGATTCTGGGAGCTGAAGTCCATCAGATCTGGAAGAAGGTCACATTTGTCTCTATATTGAGGTATTTATTTATTTAGAGCATTTCTACGGTTGCCCAGCTCAAGCAACCTGAGTCTGAACAGCACGGACAAGTCACTAAACCAGAAAAATAGCACCAGCTGGAAAGACCAGCTAAAACAATTAAACGGTGCGAAATAGAAATGAAATATGACACAGCCACGAGTAAATTAGTTGATGCAAGGGAAGCTATGAAATAAATGACAGAATTATTTTTCCCACTGGTGCTACCTGTTATTTTATCTTTCGTGAAATGGGGATGCTTGCAAGGGATTAGCTGAAAACCCAACAAGGCTGTTATAAATAAGCTTCAAACGCCAGTGGCCAAATGATCTTGGTTCCTCTAATTCTGGTGCAATTTCACGCCTTAGGCATGAAAGCCGGCTGGGTGGCTTTGGGCCAGTCCCTCTCTCTTAGCCCAACTCACCTCACAGGGTGGTTGTTGTGGGGAAAATAGGAGAAGGAGCGAATATTAGGTATGTTTGCCTCCTTATGTATAAAAATAAGACAGTGGGATAAAAAAACCTAAAAATAAAATGTCACAACTGTTGGTTGATTTATTTATTCTCTTAAGTAGCCCGCAGGCTACCTTAACAGTGACCTGGATAGGGAACAGAATTCCAGCTGCAAGAAAAGCAGGTGTCTCTTAACATTATCTTTTCAGTAGCCAAATAACTAAGAACTAAGCCCAATCTTTAATTAATGGAATGCATTTCATTTTAATTAATTTAATTTAATTTAATTTATTTCAGGAATGCTTATAGCTTATCCCAATATGGATGTTTGACTTGTTGAGTTCTGGCAGCAAATACTGCCTCAGAAAAAATGCCTCTGTTGGTAGTTGGAAAATGATGAACCCCAATTTCCAGCTTCGTCTGCACCCCATATACTCCCAATCAGTCCCTCTATCCACGCACCATTCAGCTCCCCTAGCAAAAATAGAGTTGAATACCAGCAAATTAAAGCTGTTAACTGGCAAAATTGGGGGGGAAAAAGCAAGCAAAAGTAGCAGGAGAGAGACATGAGCAACAGGCAATAATGTACATTATTTATATATTTATATATCAAAAGGCACAAAACTTTGCCAAGCCACTGGAAACAATTCTGTGGGTCATTAGCACAGACAGTCCCAGAGGGAGTGACCCTTGGTTGTCCCAGCCTCAACCCTCTTATATATAGCTAACAACGGCGGAATGGAAATGGAAAGGAGGCCACCAGGTCTTCCTCTATTCTGCACCATGAAAGAAACAATTTGGTGGATGGGGGTGATGTATTCAACACAGGTAATGGTGGTTCTCATTTCTTCTAATCTAAAAAGTCTCCACCGGTAAGATTGAGCCACAACTTCCTTTATTCTACTTTTTCCACCAGACAATCCAGCCTAGGCTTGTGTTCCATGTCTGCCCGGGTCGCGGGCATCATTGCCCCATTAGTTAGCCTGCTGGAAAAATATCACCCTGCTATTCCCATGTCCTTGTTTGGGAGTTCAGCGCTGATCGGAGGAATCCTCTGCTTCTTCCTCCCTGAAACACGAAACAAAGATCTTCAGGATGTCACATCGCAAACCTTGTCAAGCCGGCGGTGAGTTAGTGTGGGCTAGCAAAGAGCTTTAGAGAACGGAAGGAACGCGGGGAGAAAGAGAAAGAAGCATTCAGTTTAAGAGCCCGACTTTTAAAAGGAAGTCTTCTTGAAGATGATGATTGTTCCAAAGAAAAGTTAAGCTTCATTTAGGAAGTAACATGGTGATAGGTGGTGATGTCTGTCTACAGCAAAGAGTGGGTTCTGTGTGCTCCTCCTGAACTGCACAGATCAGAGTTAGAAAAAAGTGAGCTGAAAGAGGAAGAAAATGCAGAAAACCGTAAGAATATCAGTCTAACCCAGTGTTTCTCAACCTTGCCCACTTGAAGATGTGTGGACTTCAACTCCCAGAATTCCCCAGCCAGCATGGCTGGCTGGGGAATTCTGGGAGTTGAAGTCTACACATCTTCAAGTGGTGGCCAAGGTTGAGAAACACTGGTCTAACCAGTAGGAGACATGCGATATAAAGACATAAGAAGTAAGTCTTTTTGACAAGCAGAGAAGATTAAATTCAGGATTCTTCTGCTGATGGTCTCCATACAGCAGTCAATAGGTTTAAAAGGGCAGAAAGCTGGTTCATAAGACGTTGATGTCCAGCAGGTTGCTGCAAATTCTAAAACGATCGGTACCAAGAATAAGCGTGAACACATTGTCCGGATTTATGCACTGAACTTAAGCTACATGCCAATAAATGCCCTTAGCGTACAGAAACCTCGTTGTATTTTTACATAGCGTGCATTAGCAATTGCCCACATTTTTCTTGAATGGAGAAAAAAAAAAAGATAAAGGAAAAGAAAAGGGAAAAAAATTAGATCGCCCTTTGTTTAAGCAGATTAGACTTGCTGGTTGCTTGGAGATTTTTTCTGATCACCACAGGTGAGGTGCGTGGCATTTGAATGAGTTCCCGAAGAGATGGCCATTAAAAAGGTAGGAAGGTTGACTTTCTCCCATTTAAAGGCATCCCTTTTCATTAGGTCCAAGAAGGCTTTCAACATTAACTGTGAAAAAGGAGCAAGAGAAGAAGGCAGACACGTTCCAGAATTTACCCAGGACACGTATCTCTAGCACCAAGAAATTGTGGTGTCTATCAGAAGGATGGGACTTTTTTATCCGGCAAGAATTTCAATAAACAGAGTTTCTGAGTTTTGTACTCTACACGCCCTAATTCTGTGTGTGGTCCATTAAGCGGTTTTGCATCTCCAGATTGTCCAGAATGATATGCAGAAAAAGATTCAATCCAATTTCTTCTTGGTTAAGAAAACTGATCCGTGTACATTCCTACCAGGGAGAGTCAGCCTGTCTTTTTACGAGATCCCCACACAAACGAAGCCAAAAAACCATCTTTCATTATGCTTGGCGTAGTTCAGTGCAGAATCAAGAAACTCTAACACAGACTTTAGCAAACGTTCAGATGATGTGATGGAGTACAGATGGGACATGGGGGAGTGGATAGGATGAAGATTTCTGATGTGTGTGTGGATCTTTTAAATGTGTTTGCCTTTGGGGTGTTTAGGCTAGAAGTGAGCTTAAGCATGAATTAATTTTCCAGCATCTTCAGGGGAGTATCAAGCGAGTCAAGATGGTGGTCACGACTGCATGATCAAAAGCGTTTGAATCATGCAGTTTGCAATGGCCATCTTGACTTTTTTGACCCCTGACTGTGCCTCTGGAGAAGGCAGAGAGATCTGCCCCTGTTTGGTTTAGAACAGATGTAGAGTTTGCCCAGGCTTTAAATGGAGGGTCAGCTTGTCAAGAAGGTCAGCCTGTCAAGAGCTGTGATTCAAAAACGGCCCCAAAAGAGCTGGGTTTTTAGGGGGGGGGGCGAAATTAAGACAGCCAGTTTGCCCATTAAAATTTCCTCCACCCCACCCCTAAAATCAAAACAGTGCAACGAAAAGAGGCAGAATATTTCTGCTGGCGTCATATTTTTCCTTCTATTATCCTAGGCGGCATATGGTTCTGGATTTTTAAAAATTCTCCTAGCACTTGTTCACAGAAGATCCAGAGTGCTCTTGGATGGATGGATTGACTCTTTTAATGCAAACTGTCAGGGTGTGCCACGTGTCACGCTGGCCACACAGTGTGACACTCCCAGCCAAATGGGCCCAGGAACCCTTGAGTTGTTTGCAATAAGGGAAGACAGGATGATTTTTGCATTTGAACGTGCGGATCCCATGATTCGAGGGCCGGCGGAGCATCGTGTTTAGTTTCTCGGCATCACCCTTGCATCGGGTTGCGGCCAGATGAAGCAGGGAGAGCTGAAAGGGGAAAATGTGGCCCAGAATCACAAAGGCAGAGTGAAATTAATGTTAAGTAACTCACCATATCAAGAAATATTCTGCCTCCAACAGGAGCCAGTTCAATGCTGCTAAGAAGCCCATGAGAAGTGTGTAAAAGTAGCGGGATAAATTTTGCCTAACATCCTTTTGTCCCGATTGTCTAGTATTTGTTTAATGCAGCATTTCTCAACCTTGGCCACTTTAAGATGTGTGGACTTCAACTCCCAGAATTCCCCAGCCAGCTTTGCTGGCTAGGGAATTCTGGGAGTTGAAGTCCACACATCTTAAAGTGGCCAAGATTGAGAAACATTGGTTTAACGAAAGGCCAACTGCTCCCCAAAATCTACCTTTTAAAAATGCAACCCACTCCTAGCTCTGCTCCTATAAATTTAATATCAGGCAGAATCACAGCAAATCAGGAAGGGGGACTTCCCCCCCCAGTCTGCTATCTTTTCCTCTCCAAGCTACTGTTCATAGTGCAGAACCAGGGATTCTGCAAAATGCTGGAGGACGCCAACAGCAACATTGTTTGACAAAAACGGATTGCTGAAAATGTGGATTGCTGAGCATTTTAAACCAGAGGGTAAAATTTGCACTTATTGTTTCAGATTTGGGGGGGCACATCCCCTTGGTGGGACATCCTTGGCCTTGGAGGGATGGGCCACAGCTGCCCTCCAAAAACTGGGGTGGAGCAAGGACCCAGCAGGACCAAACACTGACTTTGATTTAATGAGATTTGCATTTCGTTAAAATGACATGAATTCATGATGATTGCATGCTCCCTGATTTTTTTTTTTAACAAGCTTCCTCTTCTGTTTATGAAAACATGCAGTTCCAGGGGCAGCCACATTATCAGGTGGCAGCGCTGGGCTGATCTTATTTGGGCTTGGAAGCTCAAAATAGGTCAGAATAGGTCAGAATAGGTTACTATGTGGATGGGAGACCACCAGGAAATCTTACAGCGATGGGCTAGAAGACATCCTGGAACCTGGTTGGCTAACAGGATTATAGCACCACTGCCAATCCTGTGTGTGTGTGGGGGGGGGGGGGTTCAGGTGATATCACAGTTGCGCATATATACACACACAGGGAAGAGACTGTTAAGCCAACCTTGCTGAAGTCTTAGATGAAAGGGAAGATAGGGAGGCAGTGTTCACAGGGCTTGAACTAGACAGTCTTGTTCCTCCCTCGCCTTTTTGGATCGATCGCTCATCAGTTTTCAAAGACTGCAGCTGCCCTTTGGAGGATGACCCAGATCCAATCCTGATGTGGAGGGAGGGAGAAAGGGGACCACTGAGTGACTTACGGATGGCTGTGTCCTGTTTTATAAAGCTTGGTCCTCTGCCTCTGTGATTGCTGCAGAACAGTTCTCCATGGGAAAGCTTTAAAGATTTCAAAGTTTAAAGAGAAAAAGGGAAAGCAAAAAACTGCCTTGGAACAGCCCACCTGTGTCAGGATAGCTGATGGAAGATGAGGGATGGACCTTTCCTGCAGGTCACAGACCTCACCACCAGGGGGAGCGTGGCAGAGTGGGTTGCCCTGATAGATTGGGGATGACCTCACGGTCTCATGTTCAAAGCTTTTTCCCTGTGGACCAAAATCAGGTTCAGTGTCCCATACAGACCTTGAAGATTGGTGCCTACTTAAAACAGCTGCAAAAATATACTGTAAAAGGGCAGAAGCTTTGGGGAATGGAGGAGGAGAAGGAGGAGCTGGTTGGACATCCCTGGAGTTGACTTTGCACGGTGTGGAGTGGCAGAGCGATGTGGGCCAAGGAGGAGGAATCTCGCAGGAGCAGGCACCACCCAGGAGTCCAATTTGCAGCAAACTGGCTGGTGCAAAAGATTGCAGTTTCGGGAGATCCGACTGGAGGTCAGAGACAATGGTTTGACAAAGGTGCTGGAATCCTCAAAGCCTGACAAGGAATTATTTTCCCCTCTTTCCATTCTCCTTTCTAGGCTACAGGGGTGTCTGCAAGGAGGGGAGGTCAAAAAAGTCAAGATGGTGGCCACAACCAGGTTTTTTTCCCCAAAGGCAGGGTTCAGTGGCATGGTGGTGGCTGCCACCTTGACTTTTCTGACCCCCTCCCTGCAGACATCCCTACTAGGATTGAAGTAAGTAATGATGCAACGGATGGGATGAAGAGTGGGGGGAGTGAACAATATAAGAGATGCTGTACAAAGTTCCCTTAAGATCAGTACCATGGGGGAGTTTTTTTTTTTAATAGTTCATTTATTAAAATATTGAAAGGAACAGAATAAATAGTTACATAAAAGAAAAAAGGAAGAAGATATAAAGGAGCACAGGAGATAAAAGATTAAACATCAGTATACAAACAAAGCATTTGCAATCATGATAATATTTGAGGTATCCTCCTTTATTCGTTTATTCCTTTATTTATTCATTTCCTCATTTATTCGTTACTTAAATTTAGAGAACTAGGTTCATCATCTCATCTTAAGAAATAACCAGCAATCTCTACAAAACACTAAATGCAATATTAATATTGATATACCACTATTTGAAATAGAAAAGGAGTAGAAAAGAAAGAAAAAGGATGGGAAGGGGGAAAAAATTCAAAGGGGAAAAATTAAAAAGAAAAAAATTAATTAAAAAAGAGAAAAATCAATAAAAACAAGATTTAAAATTCCCCCTGGGGGGTGGATTTTCTTCCATTTAGCCATGCACAGTTTCCTGGAGAGAAATAGCGTGGGAGTGACATAGCTTTGGGCTACCCCTTTTTACTGATTGATTCACATATGGACTCTCTTGTTATCTTCTGCTGTTCAAATAAAGGAGAAATATCTGTATACACCTCCAAGCCTGTCTCCCCAAAGGACACGTCTCTTGGCAGGGCCATCCTCAGCACCTGGAAACCTCTCCCCAGTCCGATCGACAGCTATCAGACTTGTAAATTAACACAGCAAGAGTAGCTGCCAGCCTTGTGACTCAACAAGGCAAGGACTTTGGGGGATAAAAGGGGTCCCGAAGCCCACCCACGCCTTGAGTCGTCTTTGAGTCGTCTTTGGATCCAGACTTGGCGGCTTCTGTCTCTCTAGCTCAGGGTTCCTCAACCTTGGCAATTTTAAGACGGGGGGACCTTTCCCCCCCCCCAATTCCCCCCCCGCCCCGAATTATGTAGAGTTGAGTAACCAAACATAAAATTTTGTGGTTTGTTTTAGTTTTGTTTT